GGAATGTTATATGTTATGGACTGGTTGCGATTAGATACGACGTATCTATTCTTCGTCTATGACCGAATACATCACTATCATGTAGATGTCTACATTGGGATCACTTCAGGGCTACCAGCACACCACTAATCTCTTTCGGCTTTGCAGAGTGCATCCCATAAAGGTTTAGCCTCGGCACTTTGTATTATTGACCCCCTCTTATCACAAAGTAGAACGCCTGCCTCCAGTATGGCCTCCAGTATGAATTTTATGCTACGAGGTCCACTCAAGTTTCTACCTCCATAGGGCCCAGTGGGGAGCCAACACGTTTGGAGGTAGTCCCATGTAGCCGCAATGACTACCTTGTGAACTCGCCAATGTAGTATGCGACGCGTCAAGAGCTTTGTACGCTTCTTTAATTCCCTTTCTTCGAAGTATTCTGGATACGTGATGACGAGGGTCAGAGGGAGACGAGGAGATGTGGTTCCAACGACGGGGGGGAGGATCAAGGAATCATCCATCAGTACATAGAGATCGGTTCCGTAGACGCATAGGTTAGGAAACCATTCCCAGACGCTTTCTCCCGTCTTCAGCATATAATACTCCCGAATCCCCGACCATACACTGCCTGCAATAGCAAGCTCGGTGATAGATGCTGATGCCCCACTATTTCGAAGAAAGTTGCAGAAATGCTCACCAACCCTCTCGTGGATGGAGCCTAGAATGATGAGAGAGTTTAGATTAGGAAGGGACCAGTTGAGAGAGGATAGAATTTCCCCAGAATCTCCTCTGGGCCATAATGCACAGCCAAGCGATAGATAGCGAAGATTACTGAGCCTAAAGACGGGAGGAAACAAGTTAAGGACTTCCAGTGTGATGATATTGATGTATAAGTGTGTCAGGTGAGGAAGTATGGGGCCACTTAGTTGGATTTTCCAAGGGAACTGGGATGCATCTCTTATAGCGAGACCAAGAAGTTGCGTAGCCCCTGTTAATGCATCATTGATACTGCGATCATATGCATCGAGGATCATGATCTTGACGTGAGGGTTCAACATCGTCTTCAGAAAGGGGTTCTTGTGCCATCGACGATCCTCCTTGGAAAGCTCGGGAGAGTTCAGGCCTAAAGCCACCCGTTGACTCGCTGCTGAGATATTAAAAGCAGGGCTCCGGAATCCTGATTTAAATCTTCTAGTTTGGCGATGGGGACAAACGTCACAGGCCCGGCAGTAAATGTCATCTGACGACCTGACGTGAACCCTCTCTGTCCTCAAGAGAACATTTAAAGACTTTTTCGGTAGGAAGACTCGCCCCAAATCTGTAAAGGAGCAAAGGTTACGATAGCCGTCTAGAGTGGTAGCCCACGCACGGCAGACAAGACGAAGGTTTGTCAACATGGACTGGTGTCTTCGATAGTCTCTATGAGAATCACAAGATTGATCGAACAAGTCCAAGCAGTCTACGACGCCCACTCGGAGGCGTGTTCGGTTGGGATCATCGAAGGGCAATAAGGAACTTGCTACAGCTTCAAAAAGAATGAGGCGCCAAAGTTCGATTGGAAGTAGGGTTGCTATGTTGTTCTTCATGTCTGCGTAATAATAAGATGAAAAGGGTATTGGACAAGAGGTACTAGATGCACGGCTTGGAGGGCAAGGTATAGTGCGGCGCCTTTTGTCTAGGGGATATATGGAAGATTGCGCTAGTGTCCAATAGAATGCTTGATACCCCTCCTTTTATGCAATGGAGAGGATATTAAATGTATGTAAGGGTTCAATGGTCAATTGGAAATCAGCTTAATGGTATGTGGGGGACCAAGGAGCAACCGACTGACTCGAGGCACTAACTATTCTATACTAAACTATTAAAAAGACGCCTCACTAACTCCAGCACTATCAAATAAACTTACATTATGCACATATTAAAAGGCCCTTCGGGCACAACCTGACCTCCTGAGTTGACGTGATAAGCACAGCTGATATATTCGTTTGGAAAGCAAATTATTCATTCGGGGAGTAAGGCGTCATTAATAGAGGGGTACGAAGAATGGCAGAGAAACTTTGTATCATAAATACGATATAAAGGTGGTGTTTAATTTACATGAATTACCATCCTTGGGGCCTGCTGTCAATTCAGTGTTCTAAACAGCCAGCGGACGAGAGGATAACCATCTTGAGGCAGGAGAGGTCTCGAAGACATCATCAGAGAGTCTATAGACGTAACGAGACCAATGTGATAAGAGAGAATATTCTCATTGAGCGACGATGAAGAGAGAACAGGGCATTCTGTCGAGCTCCCTAGGACGAAGTCCAGGCGAGAAGGGATTTCGTATGAGTCGTCCAAGGATCTTAGGCGAGAATATAAAGGGTTGGGATCGAATAGTGCGGAATCCTGGTTCATGATGAAGGGAAGTTGGAGAATAAGAACGTCAGTAAGTAACAATGACCTCGTAACAATGGACTCACCAGGGAGACCAGCTTATCCATTTATCATCATCATAAAACAAAAGGTCCTCTAATCATCCTGAATGAAAATCATCACGCAGTTAAAGGCGGTAGACACCATGGATGGCTCATATCATGACAGAGCACAAAGAGATCGAGTTCAAGGGCTCGCGGTTATCACGGTCACTGAGAAGAGACAAAATCTGTAATCAAGAAGATATATATTACCATCCAAGCAGCCAGATGAAGAACAGAGAGCTAGCGAAGATCAACGACGAACTGGCAGGGAGATGGTGAACAAGAAAAGCGATTTAGCGATTATCAACAGTATCTTAGTCACCGAGGAAAGGCAAGGCCTAATTGGGAAAGCGTGCCTGTAAACGTCCAACGAAGCACTTCAATTCAGTTGGTACCTTTTGTGAGAAACAAGACCTGACCTTAGTCGGTCAGGGTTATCCCGAGACCTTGTAAAGTAGAAATAATATAAGCGACAACGAATGAGCACACCAATGAACAGGAATGATTGTAACAGCTCAATTGGATTCCATCAAGGACTATGTGCAGGCTATAGGTACTGCATACTCCGTATGCACTCGACAGATAAGCCTTGTCGAACGTGGCATTGCTCCAACTATGAGACATTGATGATCGGCCCCAGTTACTCCCATAAATTACCCTAAGAGACTGCTGATTTCCCTGCGAGTTTTTGTTCTCTCTTCCAACGAGCACTCCATCCCCTTCCTGCACGGCTTTCGTTTCTTCGGGCGAGCCTCTCGCTTATCCACTCGCCTGTCTGAACCAATTTCTTCATATCGATGCCTGTGTCGTATCCTGCACCATGAAGGGCATGGACAAGATCTTCAGTAGCCGCATTGCCAGTTGCTCCAGGAGAGAAAGGACAACCGCCCAAGCCGGCAACTAGTCAAAGGTTAGGATGAGTACTGGAACAGAAAAAGGACTCACCACTTCCGTCAACTGTACGGATTCCATACTAAAGAGTAAGAGTCAGTTCCTTGAACCCTCAAGATGACAACTGGTACTCGCCTGGATAGCAGTCATGACGTTGGCCACAGCCATTCCAAATGTATCATGATTCTAAATACAGGCGTAAATATACTAGTAGACAGAACATTCCAAACGTACATGGACCTACGAGCGACGTTAGTGGCAGTATCTGGAAGGGTGAGACATACTTACAGCTAATTTCTCGACGGGGAGTTGCCTTGTTACATCATCCATGAGAGACCGAACCGTTGTCTCTGTGCCAGTTCCGACTGTGTCGCCGAGACTAATCTCATAACAGCCCATGTCCAAGAGCTGTTTCGCAACAGCGGTCACCCTTGAAGGTTTGATAGCTCCCTCGAAAGGGCATGTAATCACAGTAGAGACGTAACCTCTTATCCGGAGCCCTTTCTCTTTTGCTAACATGACTACCTTTTCGAGGGTTGCCAGAGATTCTTCTACTGTCATCTTAGTGTTTGCTTTGCTGAATGAATCCGAGGCTGCCGTGAATATCGAAACTTCATCAACGATAGGCACACCATTCTGTAGGTCCAAAAAGTCGGTCATTCCTCTGAGGTTGGGAACCAATACCGGATAAGAGACACCTGGACGCTTCTTGAGGCCGAATAGGACCTCTCTGGTCGTGCCCATTTGTGGAACACTCTTCTTCGAGACCATAGACCCGCTTTCAATGGACTTTAAGCCGGCGAGAGCAAGCCGGTCAATCAGCTCAAGCTTTGTTTCGACATCCACTATATTTGGCTCATTTTGTAGTCCATCACGAGCACCGCATTCTACAACCCTGACGAAGTTATTAGGCTCTGTCGCCGAGGAAGTTGATGCGAGTCTTCGTGATGGCGTCTTACAGCATTGCACCTTGCAAGGTCGAACAAAAGAATTCGAGAGACGATGTGGCGTTAGTTTCGCGTTTTGAAGCAAACATCGAGACATGATGACGGGGGTGGAGGAGTCTAAGGATCATCCACCAATTCTTCGGACCAACTGCATAGGCGGGCGGTCGGATCATGGCACGTGACTTTAGTTTGAAGCAATGTAAGATATTCAACTCATTAATCATAGGTTCGTTGAGATGAAGGAAAGATTCTATATACTCTATAAAGAATCATTGATGATGTTATAACAATACAATGGTACTATAATACACATCAGCAGTCAGGAAGGGACCACAATATCTCGGGACATAAGAGAAGAATGGCTGAACCACGGTGTCATGCAGAAGCTGGGGCTGTATTTCCTATCCCCAAGCGTAACTTGTCGATAGCAGATAATGCAGGCTTAAATGCGATATGAAGTGCGTCACCCATCATACTAGTCGATTTCTTCATTACTTGAGATGTTGTATTGAGAGTGTTGGATGTGATAGAGGACGTTACGGAGATGGGTGCCCAGAGGATATTCTGGATAACTTGAAGAGGTAGGGTCGGAAGGAGTGCAAGGGTGCTATCTGTTGTAAAGGAAGGGTCTTCCTCTATGTTTGCTGTTAGGCCTCTTCTTAGGGATATCAAAGCTGCCCTTGGTGAACCTTCTTGTGCTTGTGTAAGAAGGGTAACAGTTGAATCGATTGTTTCCACAACTTCCGGTTCTCCTTCACTGGAAGATGCGAGTTCGGGGAGGTCATATGGGGAACTAAGGAAAAGGTCTGCTTCAGCTCCACTGGCATGACCAAGCACTCCAAGTAACAAGACAGTTTCGGAGTCGAGAGTAAATATGCGCTTGATGATGGAGAGAAATGGAAAGTGAATAGGTGTTGGTGGCACAGACCGATTGCTTGAAGTATCAGTCGAGTGACTGAAATAGGATAGAGCAGAGTTATTTGATACTTGAGTGAATTGTGATATCGTACGACCACGTGTGTGTTCGAGCCACCCATCTCGGTAGATGTAGTTAAACCCGGTATCTGGCAGAGAACGCAATAACGGTTCTTGTCTTGCTGTTCTCCGCATTGGAAGCTCCTCTGAGGAGCTTTGAATTGATGACCACTCCCACACCTCGATGTCAATACCGGTGTCGGAAGCCTCACTAGAGCTTTCGAGCTCGACTTGCAGTCCGTTAAGAGGGGAAACAATCTCCTGTGATGAAGCAGTTGGACTGAATCTGCTTGGGAAAGGATGCACCATGGATGCATGCCGATGATCACGGTGTGCTTGGGTACGGGGCATTCGTAGGCGCATCCTTCGAGAAGATACGGGTGATGAATCACTGATATCTGTATCAATAGGGCTGCCCAAGCTCATGGATGTTGGAAGGGAGAGGTTTGACAATGAGGCAGATCCAACACTGAGCGGAATGGCTGCATTGGAAGATGCGGGTGTAGGTGGCAAGGATGATGATGGTGAAGGAAATATCAACATTGAAGCATTTGCGGCCCACGTATCGTTGATCGCTCCTTCATGGTTTCCGCTAGTGGATTCACTGATGCGGTCTTGGTGCGGCTCAGCTTCATGAGGTTGTTCTATTGGCGTTACTCGACGTCTATGAAGAGGAAAATATGCTGCCATCCAAAAGAAAGATCTGATTAGCTCTGCCCGACGCGAGTTTAAAAGTAGGAGAAAAGTGATGGTCAGGCCCAAGGTGTAGCGTCTAAGCCTGCCGGCGCCTTGTCCGCGAGGAGGCCTCCTGAATCACCGGTATTCTCTCAACCCTTTGAGAATAACCAGATAAAGAACTAGAAAATAGCCTGGCCCAATTCTCAACGACTGGCACGTCCCGGCGCGTTTGGTGGCAGAGTGCGAAACGCATCGCATACCCTTTGACCTCAACCACGACGTTAAATATCTTTATTTGAATTTCACTCACCAGGAAGAATAACAATAGCTTCAAGCAAGGACAGAATCATCAATCATGGATCGTCTAGAAGCATTGGGCAGCCAGCTGTCAAAAATTACAATGTACGATATCAAGCAAGCCTATGCCCAGGTCCGTAAAATTATCCACACAACCATCACGTCCACGATAATGGGATATACACGCTAAATCATGCTTACAGGCCAAAAACATGGTACTCAATGTTACTGAGATGGAGGCAAAAGTTCATGAGGCTACCAACGATGACCCTTGGTTCGTACAACCGGCATTATGACACGTGTTGCAAACTATAACGAACGCACAGGGGTGCCAGCTCGACACTGATGGGTGAAATCGCACAGGGGTAAGCATAGAATTTGGTATCCCTGGATATCGCAATGAATCTCGTTCTAATTCCTCGTACAGAACCTTCAATTTGTAAGTCTCCGTGAACGCTAAACACGAGTTTACTTGCTGAACCCATCATAGCCAACATTTTAATGAAATCATGCCGGCGATTTATTCCCGTTTCATGGATAAGGAAGCACGTGAATGGAGGCAAATATATAAGGTTCATTTATTCTAGGGGTTTTAGCGTAGCCGAAAGTGACAATCACTCCAACAGGCCCTACAGCTATTAGAATACATCATCAAGCATGGCTCCGAAAGAGTTGTAGACGACGCTAGATCTCATCTTTCTACATTAAAGATGCTACGAAACTTCCACTACATTGACGAGAGGGGTAAAGATCAAGGCATAAATGGTAGGTCGATTCAATGAATACCCCATCTGCTTCCCCCTGTGACCCCACCTATGTGCTCAAACTAATACCGTAAATAGTACGGAACCGTGCCAAGGAAATCGCCGAATTATTGGGCGATTTGGACAAGGTACGGGCGGAACGACGAAAGGCCAAACAGAACCGTAATAAGTATACTGGAACTGGTAATGATCCAACAAGTTTTGGCTCAGGTGGAGGTATGTGTATCTTCTCAGGGTCAACGCAAAGTAAAAATTCACCCTTGCCCAGGTCGTTATGGCGGCTTTTCAAGTGACGATTATTATGGCTCTTATTCTGGTGGTGGTGATGGTGGTGGTGGTAGCTATTCAGGAAGTGAGTCAAATCTAGTATTAATACTTGTTCCTCAATTCCTGACTGTATTACTAGACTACAGCTCCGGTGGTGGAGGTGGCGGAGGAGGTGGATTCTCGGACTCTACATCCAGACAACAGTTTGAAGAATACGATGCAGGTGACTGGGAAGAGCGGCCAGCCCGGACATCGACATCCTCTCATACAAGATCATCATCTAACCCACCCAGGGGAAGTACTACTGCAACTAAAACTTCTACTGGTACGTCCACTCCGACATGTATCGTACAAACCATTTACGTAGCGTCCTTTCCGTATAGCTGCCACCTCCAGTCCAGCAAAACCCGCAGTGCCTGCTAAAGACAAGGCCAAGGAGGTTGATCTCCTGGGGTTCGGCTTTGATGACGCACCTGCAGCGGTACCAGTCGCCGCAGTTCCTGCGCTCGCCACAACACCCGCGACGACCGCCCCCAAGGCAGCAGCATCTAACGACTTTGACGACTTTGACGATTTCCAAAGCGCACCTATAGCAGCAGCAGCGCCCAT